TCTGTTCCTAGGACAGCTACCTAAGATACTGACCATATTAATTATTAATTATCAATTGCTATATAACACACTGGCTTCAGACAACAAACTATTATTTTACAGGGTTAGCAGTCAGGGTGTGGCTTAGCTGGGTGGTTCTGGCTACAGGTCTCTTATGAGATTCTGGTCAAGATGTCAGTGAGGACTGCTGTCATCTGAAGGCTGGAGGATTTGCCTCTATGATGGCTGTTGGCAGAAGGCCTCCATTCCTTGCCACATAGGCTCTCCACCAGACTGCCTGAAAGTCCTCAAGACGTGGCATCTGGCTTCCCCCAGAGTGAGTCATCCAGGAGAGAAACCAAGATGGAAGCCATAATATCTTTTATAACCTAATCTCAGAAGTAACATACCATTACTTCTGTTTATCCTGTTGGTCACATAGATTAACTCAGATACATTGTTGTGGGACCACACAGGGTATGAATACCATGAGGTAGAGATCTTTGGAGGCCATTTTGAAGGCTACCACATTTATTTTAGAAATGAAAATCATATCCTTCATGATACTCAGTACTGCCATGGTGCATTGTCTTGAGGTGTAAATACTTCCAGGGTGACAAATAAAGGAGAAGTCTCCTCAAGGAACTGTATTAGGCGTTTCTTTCTTTCTAATTTTGCACAGATTTCTGTTAAGGGTAAATCATGTTAGAAACAGTATATTTTTGTCCTGTGGTAGGATATTCTGAATTTATATACATAGTAGGGAGTAATAACATAGATAGGAATAATGGTAGTTTCCTTTTAATGATGTGATCTTTTCCCCCCTAGCTATTGACAGCAAATATATTGCTTTTAAGAGAGAGTTCTGTGAGAGTACAGCAAAGAGAAGACAGACAATTTTGAATGCTAAAACTATGTCCTATGTGTTTAAATATAAACAATGATTTTGGCTAATCTTAATACTCTTCCTTAGGAAGTATCATTCGCTGTAAAGAAAAACACCTTTAAACAGCTAAATGATGTGTTAGTAAAGCTGTATTTTTTAAACATCAATTTCTGGGGCTGCCAAAAATTTTAAGTTACACTGACTAATCTTAATTTGTTTTTAATATTCATGTGTATTATGATTTGATAAAGTAGGTAAAGCCGTTTAGCTGTCATAAGTCTAAGTCCAGTTGTTTAATATTTACTACTTTATATTTAAAGTAAACTCTGGCTATTCATGTTTAGCACAATACACCATTCTCTTTTGTTAAGCACCCAGAAAAAGCATGATCATCCTATCTAAAAAAATTAGTGGAATAATGCCTTATTTTATTGTTTGATTTATTGATTGGCAAGAATGCATTTTATTTATATATTTTTGTAGCTTTAGGGTTGCAGGTGGTTTTTGGTTATGTGGATGAATTGTATAGTAATGAAGTCTAGGCTTTTAGTATACTTGTTACCTGAATAGTATACATTCTACCCAATAGGTGATTTTTTTCATCTTTTACCCCGCTTCTGAGTCTCCAATGTTCGTTATACCACTCCACATCCCCCTGTATACCCATAGCTTAGCTCCCACTGATAAGTGAGAACTTACAGTACTTGGTTTTCTGTTCCTGAGTTCCTTCGCTTAGAATAATGGTCTATAGTTCCATCCAAGTTGCTCCAAAAAACATTATTTTATTTTTTTTATATCTCTGATTTTTATACTTGGTTGTATTTAATTATTTCCAAAAGTTGAACAACAGAGTTTTATGTATGTCCACATGTTAATGGATGGCATATAATATTGTTTATTATGTTGCTTTACTTTACAAAAACTTTGAATTTTAGGTATATAGTACATTGTACTGTTGTAAATTAAGTAATGAGAAACAGAATAAGTAATGAGAAACTGATTTATTATCTTGATTTTAAGGTATGTGAATGCACAAAACAGTCACACTGGGTTTAAATAATCTTAATTGCTTTTTGTAATCCCATAATTTTTTTTTTGAGGGTCTCGTTCTACTGCCTAGGCTGGAGGGCAGTGGCATGATCTTGGCTCACTGCAACCTCTCCCTCTCAGGTTCAAGCAATTATCATGCCTCAGTCTTCCAAGTAACTGGGATTACAGGTGTGTGCTACCATACATGGCTAATTTTTGTATTTTTAGTAAAAGCAGAGTTTCACCTTGTTGGCCAGGTTGGTCTCAAACCTTTAAACTCACTTCAGATCACTCAAGTGATTTGTTCACCTCAGACTCCCAAATTGCTGGGATTACAGGTGTAAGCCAACATGCCCGGTGGTGTGAACCCATAATTTCTCAGTGGTTTTCATAATGTAATTTTGTTTATTTTGTTTAAGAGATGGGGTCTCACTATTGTCCAGCCTGGAGTACAGTGGTGCAATCATAGCTCACTGCAGCTTTGAATTCCTGGGTTCAAATGATCCTCCTGCCTCAGCCTCTGAAGTATCTGGGACTACAGGTGCATGCCACTATGCCTGGCTAATTTAAAAATACATATATATTTAAAAGAGATATCTTGACATGTTGCCCAGGCTGATCGTGAACCCCTGGCCTCGAGCAATCCTCCAGTTTGAGCCTCATCTTAACTTTTTTTGAAGTGAAACTTTGTCAGAATTTTCCTGAGAGACACCAAGTGCAATTTGACTTACTAGTTTGATCGTGAGGACTGGCTTTGCTAATTAGATTTTAGGTTTTAGGGTGGACTTAAAAAAAAAATGCCCTAAATCTGCGGGTCAGAATTTTAATCAGAATGTGTATTATTAATGGGGTGGGGGGAAACCTCACTCATTCTATTAAGATATTTATTTCCAATAAAAATTTACTTTTGGGTTTACTCATTATCAAAATGTATGATATATTTATGTTATTTACATCAGTTAAGTACTGATTATAATAATTTAACCCAGAAGGAAAAAAAACCCACCATAACATGTAAAGCCTTGTAATCTCAGATATAAAAGTAAAACATGATCATATTAGACAATACTTTTAAAAATTAAGTTAGAAAAAATTCTGTAAGGGTAATGGACTGGAAATATGAGTTCAAAAAGAAAAATGTAGACTTTCTAAATGTTAATATTATATTCATAGATATCTCTCTATATGTATATTTACATACTTTATATTTTTTTAGATACGGCTTTCATGGTAAAAAAGAATCTGAGGAGAAAAGAAAATGAAAAAAAAAAAGAAAAGGAAAACAGATATAAGGTTTCACTCTACTGCCCCAGCTGGATTGCAGTGGTATAATCATACCCCACTGTAGCCTTGAACTCCTGGGCTCAAACAATCCTCTTGCCTTAGCCTCTTGAGTAGTTGGGATTACAGGCACATACCAACATGCCTTTCTAATTTTTAAATTTTTCTGTAAAGATGGAGTTTCACCACGTTGCCCAGGTTGGTCTTGAACTCCTGGCCTCAAGTGATCCTTCTGCCTCTGCCTCCCAAGTTGCTGGGATTAAAGTGTAAGCCACTGCACCAGCCCTATATTTTTTTAAGTTGAGTGATGGCTGGATATGTTTAAATGAGGATGTAACAGTTTTATTTTTAAATTCCATTTTATCCTTAAGTGTATTAAATCCTCTACATTTATTGAAACTTATGGTGAAAAAAATTAGTTACCATATTAAAATTATGTGAGGGACATTATAGCTTTTTGAAATAATTTTAATTGTTTGAGTATAAAATACTTGGAAAAAGTTTGCTATAGGATACCTAGTTAAAAATATTTTTTTCATTATGCATTTACTTTAGACAACACTAAGAAAAGTCATGTTTTTTTGTAGCAACTTAAGTGTAAAGAAAATAAAATCATCCCTTTTTTCAGTGAAAATATGGGTTTTGACGTTTTTTTTCCTGTAGTTAATTTTTTTCTTTTGACTATGGAGCCTTGGATGAGTAGGAGAATGGTTCTCGACCTTTCCTTCTGATACTGGATGGGTTCTCTTTAAGCAGAGAGGAAGACAGAGGGGATTGATATATAGTAATTTATTTAGTTTTTCAGTTATTCACTTAGCCAATATTTATTGAGTGCCTTCTGCATGCCAAGCATTCTTCTAAGTGATAAGGATACAGTGATGAACTAGATGGAATGTGGACCATGTTCTAATAGAGTCAAGTGGTAAAGGTAGATCTCTGTTATGGATAAGGTAGCCACTAGCTATATGTAGCTGCTAAAACAATTAAGACTTAAATTGAAAAGTCAATGTCTCATTCAGATTGGCCACATTTCAAATGCTCTATAGCCACATGTGACTAGTGGGCTACCATTTTACACAGTGCAGTCTTAGAAAACATCCATCTTCACAGGGAGGGAGTTTCATTGGACAGCACTGAGATAGACTAACCAAGAAATTATAGCGTGGTATAAGTTCTTTGATAGGGAAGTACAGGTTGCTATGGAATGGCAGGAAATAACAAGCCTTCAGAAGTTAGGGAAAGCCTTCTAAAGGAAGTAATATCTCTGGCGAGTCCTGAAGAATGAGTAAAAAATCATATGGGAAAAGGAAACTGGGAAACATATTTCAGAAATAGCCTGCGCAAAAGGCTGGAAGTGAAAAGAGAATGGTGTATGGATATGTTGAGAGTAAGAGAGTACCAAGAGACGAGGCAGGGGGTGGAGGAAGATTGCCGGATCATGTTGGGCCTTGTGTAACATGCTCAGAACTTTAGGCTTTGAAGCTAATCTTTCATTGGGCTTCCCTCACTGATAGCCATATTTTTTTTTTCAATAGAAAATCTATAAAGCCTAAATAATAAGTTTGGTAGATATCCAGTTGTTTAAATGTAACTTTATTCTTCCTTATAGTCATGATACAAAAAAAATTACTGTCTTTAAACTATAATGGCAAAATGTATTCTTAACATTCTATATGAAATGCTATTAAACATTTACATTCTAGTTAAAAATTAAAAATGACTTGAGGGTAAAGAAGTATCTGTTCTAGCTGTGTGTGTGTGTGTGTGTGTGTGTGTGTGTGTGTGTGTGTGTGTATTTTTCATTACTCTGCTGATTTTATTTTAGGGTGATGAGGAAACATTTGAAAACTATTATCGAAAACAAAGAAAGAAACAAGCAAGACTGGTATTGCAACCCCAGTCAAATATGGTAAGTATGGGGTATTTTGAATTGGTTATGTTGTTACTTTTTATCGCCTTATCCTCTTTTAATTTCTTCAGAGCATGTATCACTATTCATTCAACTACAAATATTTATTGAACACCTACCATTTCCAAACATTGGTTTAGGTGCTAAGGGTACAGCAGTGAACCAAACAGACAAGTCCCTTTTCTCATGAGCTTACATTCTATTAGGTAAAGGCCAAGAAGTAAATATATAAAATATCAGGGAATGATAATTAGTTTCTGACAATATAGTGGATTATGTACCTTTCCCAATAGAATAGCTTACATTCTGTTAGGAAAGATAGATAGCGAATTAAAAAAAAAAAAGGCCAACAATTAAATATATAAAATATCAGGGAATGATAAGTAGTTTCTGACAATATAGTGGATTATGACAATATAGTGGATTATTTGATTAATTGTCCCACGGAAAATACAACTGAAGATGCTAGATAGACATTTAAAACAAACAAATAAAAAAGACCAGAAATGAAGTGAATAAGGTACTGTTTTATATATTGGTTGTGGTGATGGTTACATTAGAAGACATGTTTGTAAAACTCATAGAAACTGAATATGAAAGAGTTTTATTGCATCTGACTTATACCTCAATACATCTGACTATAAAACAAACAAAACGGGAAAACCTAAATGAAGGCAGAAACGCAGATAGGTTTAATAAACACAGAATATAGCTTTTACCCTAGGAGCGTCTGCTGAGTAGGAAAGCATGAGTTTTGAGGACTTTGGATACAGAGGGCTAAGCCCAGAGCCCACCCAAAGTAGATGTCTAGTAAGAGATTGTCTCCCTTGTAAAGCTGAGACTCCAAAGGATTTAAAGCCCCATTATTAGGATGAGCTAGAGATAAAACTATCTAAAAACCTTTCTGTTCCCTCTGGTAAATAGTGTAAGGAAAATTACCCATCTCAAATCTTAGTGCTGAGTGAATGAGAGAAAAAATCCCTCTGAGAATTCATAACAAGCAGGTTGTTACCACTTGTATTTGCAACCCAAATTCATTATACTTGGATAGTCAAAGACATCTCAAGCTTGATATTTGAAGTGTTTCCATCCTGATACTGTCTCCAGGTGCCTGGCAGAAGCGAATACAGATCTCTGCACCTTCATTCCAGAGTTTAAATGAGCAATTCACAGTCAGAAATAATTACCAAACAAATGAGAATCATAAGAAATATTAACAACAGAAATAGATTCTAAAAGACTTGATATTTGAATTATTAGCCATAGAGTATATAATAGTGCTACTTAATATATTTAAAGAAATAAAAGGCAAGCTTGCTAATATAAATAGGGAACAGAAACTATAAAGAATGACCAAATAGATGTGAAGAAATATCAAGTAGAATATCTATAAATTAAATACATATTAACTGAAGTTAAAAATATTATGAATAGGTTTAACAGTTGATGAATATCAGTTGCTATGAAGAAACTAATCTTTACAAAGAGTCTGAAGGAAGAATTACAGAAGAGAGACATAAGGGATTCAGAGAAGTCTAACCTATATCTAATTGGAGTTTCAAAAAGAATAGAGCAAATGAGACTGAAGAATATTTGATGCCATGTGGCTGAGAATTTTCTGGGACAGATGAGAAACAGAAATTCACAGAGTCAAGCCCAAGGAATCCCAAGTAGCTTCAATAAAAAGAAATACACTCTTAGAAACCTTAAAATTAAATTGCAGTACACCAAAGATAAAGAGGAATAGAAGACCTGAAAACTATTATCATCTATCTTGAACTGATTGACATTTATTGAATATTCCACCCCAGATGGTAGAATACACATGCTTTTCAAGTGCACATGGAAGATTCACCACGATCATATTCTGGACCATAAAACAAACATCAACAAATATAAAAAGCTGGGTCAGGTGTGGTGACTCACGCCTGTAATCCCAGTACTTTGGGAGGCCGAGGCAGGCGGATCACCTGAGGTCAGGAGTTTGAGATCAGCCCGGTTAACATGGTGAAACCCATCTCTACAAAAAATAGAAAAATTAGCCAGGTGTAGTGGTGTGTGCCTGTAATCCCAGCTACTCAGGAGGGTGAGGCAGGAGAATTGCTTGAACCCGGGAGGTGGAGGTTGCAGTGAGCTGAGATCGTGCCATTGCACTTCAGCCTGGGTGACAAGAGTGAGACTGTGTCTCAAAAGCAAAACAAAACAAATATAAAAAGATTGAAATCATACAAAGTCTGTCCTCTGACTGCAAGAGAATTAAATGATGCATATGCACAGAATGAATGTTGACTCATTTAACAATTCAAGAATGGGTAATAGACCTAAATGTAAGAGCTAAAGTTGTAAAGTTTTAGAAAAAAACAAAGGATAAAATCTTTATTACCTTGGGTTCTACAGTATTCTACAATGTATTGTCTACAATATTTTTTCCAATGTGAGATATATAAAGCATGAGCCATAAAAGAAAAAAAATGGATGATTTGAACATCAAAATTTAAAACTTCTGCTTTTCAAAAGGTGTTAAGAAAATGAAAAGGCAAGACATGGACTTGGAGAAAATATTTGTAGAACTCATGTCTAAAAATGGCTTTATCCAGAATATGTAAAGAACTTGTATAACTCAGTAATTGAAGCCAGATGAACCAGTCTTTACAAATGGATAAAAGATTTGAATAGACGTTTTACCAAAGATCTGCTGATGGGAAATAAGCACATGAAAAAACATTCAATATAATTTTTCATCAGGGTGATGCAAATTAAAACCACAATAAGATACTGCTACATACTTTACTAGAATGACTAAAATTGAAAGAATTGATAATAGCAAGTGCTGGTGAGGATGTGAATCAGGTGGAACTCTCATACACTTCTGATAGGTATAAATTATACTGCCACTTTGCCACTTTGGAAAATGGTTTAGCAATTTGTTACAATGTTAAGCATACCCTCATATGACCTACCAGTCCTGCTCCTAGGTATTTATCCATGAGAAACAAAAATGTGTCTTTATACAGTGGCTATTTGAATGTTTGCAGTAGCTTTATTATAAATGCCAAAAATTAGAGACATCTGAATGTCTATGAACTAGTGAGCAAATTATAATACACCCATGTGAATAAACAAATTATTGTATGTTTTATATAATGGAACTACTTGGCACTAAAAGGGAGTTGATATATGCAGTGATATGGATAAATCTCAAAAGTATTATTCTAAGTGAAAAAATTCATTTACAATAAAGTTATATACAGTATGAGTTATGTGACAGTTTTGAAAAAGCAAAACTCTAGGACAGAATGGGATCAGTGGTGGCCAAAGGCTAAGGGTTTGGCAGGGTAATTCTCTATAAAAGGGCAGGAGAGAACTTTCTGAGATGGAAACATGTATTTTGATTTTTCTGGTGGTTACACAACTGTCTACATTTGTCAAAACTCATGAACTCTACATGTAAAAGGGATTAATTTTATTGTATGCAAATTATACCTCAATAAACCTGACTTTAAAAACAAACATAAATAGAAAATCTTAAAAGTACCCAAAGAGAAAGGAGTTTATTTTCAAGTAAACAAAACAACAAAATATTTTCAATTCTGAAAAAAGTAACTATTAGGATTCTATATCCAGTGAAACAAGGGCAAAGATAGACATTTTCAGACACAGAAGAGCAGAGTTGGCCATTTAAGACACCCTTACTAAGGAGATTCTAAGGATATGCTTCAAACAAAATGAATGTGAAGCCAAGTGGAAGATGTGAGATGTAAGAAGGAATGATTAGCAAAAACAGTATAAATATTTAGGTAAATCTAAAATGGCTGTAGGAAATAATACAATAAAATATTTTGGACATTAAAACAACATAGAATTTTAATTTGTGCAGCAGCAATAAGAAAAGAAGATAGAATTAAAATACGTAGCAATAACATAAACACCAGAATGAGATGGAAGTTGATGAAATTAAACCATCCTACAGCCTGAAGTGTCCAGCAGAAGAGTAAAAACATTGACTAGCTGTAGAGTTTGGTTACTTAAGGATGTGTAATGTGATTTCTAGAGAAACTACTGAAAGACTAGAAACAGGGTATATATATTTTTATATAATACAGGGAAAGCTAGAATGATAAGAATAAAATTCGTGTTATTTGTGTGCTTTTGAATTGATATAAAAATGGTAATTCTAAACCTGTAAGTACTTGATAACATTGACTCAGTATTTAAAGGAAAATTGCCACAACTACAAGGAGAAACAGAAAAATCCACAGATATGGTGAGTTTTAAGATATGTGTCAGTATAGGCTTACTTAATAGGCTTCATCTAATGGATATATAGAATCCTATTTCAACAACTGTAGGAACATATTCTTTTCAAGCAAACAGGGACTATAATTAAAAATTTGACTACATACTGTGCTATAAAGCAAGTATCAGGAAATATCAAGCATTTAGTGTCATGTAGACCATATTTTCCAATCATAGTATTTCTGAGCTAAAATGTTAGCAGTCCTTCCCCCAAAACACCTGAGAAAAACTCTAGATATTTGAAAATTTGATCACATTTATGAAATTTGCAAAACATAACATTTGAACTTAATTGAAATATGAAATATTTCACATAATAAACTGTTTTGAATGAAAGTAAACTGATCAAATATTTTTCTATATGCCTTTTGTTAAAATTATAAACAATAGGCAATTGTAAACCATTATAAACAATAGGCAATTGTAAAACCGTAAAAGGTTTTGGTAGAAGATATAATCTGATTATTATTTGAACAATATCATTCTGGCAGCTGTATAGAGAAGAGACTATAGGGGACAAGGCCGGAAATTGGGGAGACTGTAGGAGGATGGCATAATAGTCAAAGTAGAGATGATGACGGCTTCAGGTAGTCTACTGAGAAGGGGGTCTGAAATCATATTTCTTTTTTGTTTTTGTTTATCTCCTTTCGAATGTACGTTCCATGAGGGTAAGGACTTTTTGTTATTTACAAATATATACCTGGTACCTAAAAATGTATGCAGCATATAGTAGGCTCTCAATAAATATTTGTTAATGAAGTTTTAGCGATTTGGAACTTACCTTTATGTTACCGGTATTTATTGGTTTAAATTGATTTTTATTTTTCATTTTAAGCATGAAACAGTTGATGGCTATAGAAGATATTTCACTCAAATTGTAGGGTATGTATCTAATATGGAAATAACTATTATTAATTTTATATTATGTTAAATGTTAGAAATAATTATTTTCTATTTGGGTTTTTTTTTTAATACATGCTTTGGTAATTACTGTTTTTAGGTTCTTTGTGGTAGAAGATCACATTTTACATGTGACCCAAGGATTAGTAACCAGGGCATACACTGATGAACTTTGGAACATGGCCCTCTCAAAGATAATTGCTGTCCTTAGAGCTCATTCAGTAAGTCAGATAATTTATATTACTAAAAATTTAATTCCGTTACTTCAATAATTTCTGAGCTGGATAAATAGCAGAGGAAAACTGTACCTCCATCATTCTACATTTTTTGGTAATTGCTCAGATTTGGAAGTAGTAACGTCAAGTGTTCGTTTGGTAATGTCAGGCTATGATTTCGCAACTGACTGGGGCTTCCCAAAACACTTTTATTCTAGCATTATAGAAAATGAAGAATTAAGCAGGTCTCATTAGTCTCAACTGACCTTTTCATTAGATCACTGAAAAGCACCACGAAGAAAGGGTTTTTAATTATCATTTCAATTCTTTGTTTCTAAAATAAACTCTACCATTAAAACTCAATAGAACTTGTTCTTCGATGTTTACAATTTACAGTAATACGCTGTAATTGTGAATTTCTTTAAAATATGCAATTTTCAAAATTTGAATGCATTTGAAATAATGAACCGTTGTGTAATGAGAGGTTTTTATAGATGAAAATTAAATGATCAAATATTTTCCTAATGCCTTTTGTGGGAGTAACAAATATGTTAGTGTTATAAAGACAATACTTAGTATAGGCCTTTTTAAAAGACAGTTGTAGTAGTTTACCTTTATTAACTTATTTCCATATTTAAAATTTTGTCTGTAATATTATAATTGATAATTGAGATTTTAAAAATATTGAAGAATTGTTACCTTATGTGATATTAAGATTATAAGTATGTACATTTTTATTTATCCGGAATGTAGATTCTTGATACACTATCCAATGAACCACAACTTTTCCTAACGTATTAATAAAGAACAATACATTTTATCATGGTTGATATTCACATCAGCTCTGAATATATAAAATTAAAGTATGTTTTCTGTTAATTCCATGATACCAAATATGAAGTCATATTAAATATAACATATCACTTTCAAAATCTTATTAAATGGTATGAAAGGGACAGAGTAAATCTCACTGTCCCCTTGAAATTAATAGTTTTCCTTTGGTTAATTACTAAGAAAGTACTGAAATTGTCTTTCTTATATTGGAAAAGGTAATATGTAAAGTCACTTTTATAAGATGGACAATAAATAAATAGATGAAAAGTGAACATACATAGTCTATATAAAAACTTTTTTCAGTTTAAATAACTAGTTTCTTAAAATCTAAAAACTTTTAGAAACGTTAAGTATCGTGAGTATCATATTATGATCTTCCTCTAAAAATTACACTGAATAGAGAAGGTCAGTTTTGGATCTAACCAACCAAGATTTTAAACTTATTATAAATCTGGAAGATTAAAAGAAACATTATCAGAATCTTATTTCTTAGTTTTTAATCTTCTGACTCTGGCTTGTTGTTGGTGGTGTTTTGTTTTGTTTGTTTGTGCGTTTCTACCCTTAGTCCTATTGCACAGATCCTGATCTTGTTCTGGAGCTGAAGAATCTCATTGTAATATTTGCAGATACTTTGCAGGTGGGTGATAACCTAACAATTAATGGTTATTCTAAGCTCTCAAAAATGTATAAAATATAGGCTATACTCATTTATGTTGTTGTAGATTAATAGCAGTAAATTAGTAGGAATAAATGTTTACCTGTGTATTGTTCTGCTATTACCCAGGACTATTCATATACTTCCTTTTCAATTATGAAGCTTAGACAGAGATCAGGGATGCTGTCATCTTTTAAAATATTGATCATTCAGTTAGAATAAAGTATTTTTACAGTGAAAAAAAAATATAGAGTATAATGGGAAGAACCCTGAACTAGAAATTAGAAGATATAAATTCTGCCTTAGGGCAGTGAACAGTGGGCTCTGGAATCACATAGACCCAAAGTTTCTGTTCTGCCTGTACTGTTGACCAATTGTATGCCTGCAAGTTCTTTAAGGCTTAGATCCTCATTTGTGAAAATGGGTTTATTATTAATTTTCAGAATTGTTTTTAGTTTTAAATATGATACTTTATATGAAAACACATAATTTGAAAACTGTGCATTCATTTTTTTCTTAGTTTCCTAGTCTTCATGTGCTCTATGAGCGAATCACTTTCCTTTTTTGAGTTGTGGTATTTTTCTTTTTAAAAATAAGGAGGATTGCTTGAACCCGGGAGGTGGAGGTTTCAGTGAGCTGAGATCACACCACTACACTCCAGTCTGGGCAACAGAGCATGACTCCATCTAAACAAACAAACACCCTGAAACAAACAAACAAAAAATAAAATTAAAATTACATTATTTCAAAACTCAATATTTTTGTGATTTTCAGTATCAGAGTTCTGGGATTTCTAGCTTGTCCTTCCTACTTGATCACAGGTAAAAGAGTATAGATATTGATTACATTTTGTTTTCCTGTGTAAATTTATGGGATTTTATGATGAGAAGTAACTTTTCGTCGAGTACAGACTAGCATTTTCCAAGCTGCGATAAGAGATGTTACTTAAAAAAAATGTTTTGTGGTCCAAAAGTAAAATGCATTTCTCCACTGAAAACCTTTCTGAGAGCAAATTTATCCCCATAAGTTCCCAAAAGGAAGATGACTATGTAGCGTTTCCCCGATATATTTGACCCTTGCATCTTTTTCCCCCTTAGAACATCATTTAGATCTAAAACTTTATATAATATGCTTTGGGAAATCCTGATTTAAACTATTTGTTTTATCAGAAGAGTCTTTGCATCTTAGAATTATAGTTTTGTATGGCTTATATTGTAACAGCAGAATAATATGGGTTTTTTGGTTGTTTTCATAAATTTTGTGATGAGTGTATGTATCTATAATATTGATCTCACTGCAAGAACACTTTTGGTAAGTTTTATTTGGGGCTGTCCAAATTTTGGGGGCCCATTTCTAAGAAGCTTGAGATATTAGGTTGGTGCAAAAGTAATTGCGTTTTTTGCCATAGAGAGAAAAAGTAATAGGAATTTGGGTTAGTAATTTTGCTATCCTTAATGACTTAAAGCACTGCTACTCAAAGTGTGGTCTGGGAACCACTGGTTTGCAAACTGTTTGTTACTAGTCTGCAAATTGTCTTGTTAGACCCATAACAAAAAGGAGCTGTCCTCAGAATGTAAATTAACTGTATCACCAAGTACAAAGTTCAGTGCAGTTTGCATCTTGTTACAAGCAAGACTTTTTTTCAATAGGTAGCAGCATCAATTTGTATTGTAGTGCAAGCTCCTTATATCTTTGTAGACTGTAATAAACAGTTCTTGGACTGGACTCTGAGTACAGCTGCATCTAGAGTATTTTATATGGTACCAAGGAATTCTCCAGAGAATCAAAGAAAAGTCAAAGATAATATTTAGGTAATATTGGCATTGTAAAAGCAACAGTGATATTTCCATAACCCTTGCAAGGATACCTTTCTCATATGATTGCTTTGAAATATGACTGGAGAAGACAAATGAGTTCTTTGTACTTATTCAGAGTTTCTGCAGTATTTTCATTTCACTGAAAGCTGACAGGCTCAGTATTAGATTGATCTTATACTGAATTAATGATTGCGGGTTTTTATAACTATTAACTGAAGAACTTGTGAGTGTCTTTTCATGAACAGTAATTAAGAATGTTACATAATATTTAGTTTTTTAAATCACCCTTGCCGCCCTAAGGAAATTTTACTTTTTAAAACACCAGTATTTTATCATCTAAAACAAAGCTAACTAAAGAATAAAGTAAAAAGGTAATACCAGCATATTTATATTGTTTGCTGCCTACTAGGCAAATAACAAGTAAACATTTATTGATTCCTTTGTTAACATTTTTTGAGTACCCAATACATGTTAGCAGTCTAGTTGATGTATAAAATCATCAGTTGAGACATAAAAGTCAGTAAGACAGTAGTAGTGACATAAAAATCCTTGGCTTCAAGAAATTTACAGTTAAATTGCAAACAAATAGAATGTTTAATAAGGCATGCTAATGCAGCAATATGTTAGAGAGCTTTGGGCTTGCAGAAGATGGAATGACTAACTTAGATTCTAGGAGTTGAATAAGCCTGTATGAAAAGTTGAAACGAGCTAAGCTTTGAAGAAGGAGTTCAGCAAATAGATAAGAAGGAAAGGGCATTAATGGAAGAGAAAATGCCATGTGTAAACTATAGATAAAGGCATGTTGTGGTGAAAGTGAAGCTGAGCAGTTTGATGGTGTTAGAAACTGTAGAATATAGGTGTGAACAAGGAAGGGCAAATAGTGGTGATAAAACTGATGAGATGGTTTGACCCAGATTATGGGATGTCTTGTGGGAGTTTAGTAAGCATTTTCTAGTTTTTAACCAGGGAAATGGCACAATCAGATTTACATTTTTGAATGGTAATTTTGAGAATCTGGGAAATAGATTGAGAGAGACAGATGGTTGAAATTTTTGTTTAGGAAGCTTTTACAATGGTCTAGGTAAGAGATATTAAGGACCTGAGATAAAGCAATGGCACTAAGAATATTTCTGGAAGAAAGAAAGATGGGTAGATGATGGAGAATGATAGATTTGATTTGTAAAAGAGGTAAAGTCAGAATCTGGTGACTGCTGTGTGTGTGGCGGGCGTTGTTTAGATGTTTTTCTAGATTCTCTATGGATAAATTGGGTTGACGATAGTGTTATTATTATGGATAGGAAATAAGAGGAACATTTGATTTCGTTGGAAAGAGAGGAAATAAGTTTAATGTACTTGCTGGCTGACTGAATGGAGATGAAACAGGTAATGGAATTAAATATTTGGAATTTAGAGAGACCTAGCTAGAGATTCAGATTTGGAATAATCATCGTAGGTTGAAGTCATTAGACTTGAGATTGCCCTCGGGAGCTAGAAGAAAAGATTAAAGATAGAGATAGAAGTTACACAAGGGAACTGAATGGATTGTACATGGTTGTAAAAGGAGAACAAGAAGAGTGATTGGTGTTATAGAAGTCAAAGCAGAAGAATTTCAAGAAAGAGTTGTCAGGTAGGGTGAGATCTTTGAATTTGACACTTAGGAGATAGTCTGTGACATTGTTGAGTAGTTTAAATAAAGGAATAGAAGTGGGAGTCAGATTGTAGTACATTTGGCTATGAAGGGAGTGATGCAGGCAGCTGACACGCTACAGAAAATTGAGGGAGAGCTTTTTTGGTCTCCTGTTTTTCTTGGATTAAAGATGGGAAACAATTTAGCATGTTTATTTAGCCAAGAGAAAGGTGTCTGTGGAAGCTAAAGATGTAATAAAGTAAAAAACCCATGGAATGGTTTCTGTGGAAGGAGATAGGCTCAAGAACAAAGATGGAGAGAGAAACCTTGGAGATGCAAGTGGAGAATTCTGTGAGGTGAGAGAGCATATTTGGTCCTGATATGGGTAAGATTTCAGTGAGTTTGGAGTTGGAAAAGAAAAAAGTTTGGGAGTGTGAATGTTTGATGGAAAGATGTAAATTTTCCCAATATGTGACAAACTCAGTCTCAAATTGAAGGTGCAAAAGGAAGCCAGCCTGTCTCAGACAGAATCCATTCCCTTTTCTTCTTGTACCCTATTTAGGCACCACTTCCCAAGTGGTGCCATAACATACTATTATGTAAATACTTATTTTGAATTTTTTCTTCCAGGCTTGACTTCTAATACTTTTTAAGGCTAACAGTGTAATTGTTACTGAAAAGAGAGAGAAGAAAGGAAAAATCAATCTATTCTCATAAAACTCTTTCTGGACCTCTTTTTTACCTAATGCAATGTAGTAGAAAGTCAAAAGTATATCTTTTTTTTTTCTTACTGTGGGAATGGCATGCAGCGGGATCTAGTGATTCCTTCCAAATGATTTTCTAGTATTCCCTACATTTTTAATGAATATTTTTGTACACTTGTTTATCCGCATTTTGTTGTTGTTGTTGTTTTTCAGGGTTATGGTTTTCCAGTGAACCGACTTTTTGACCTATTATTTGAAATAAGAGATCAATACAATGAAACGCTGCTTAAGAAATGGGCTGGAGTTTTCAGGTTAGTCTAGGTCATGGTGCCTTAATATAATGAATATGTTTGTCAAATGCTCAAGTAGTTAATTTGCATGTATTAATAAAAATGCTTATATTCATTTTTTATTATAGTAAAGTCACATAGAATTTACCATCTTAGCCAGTTTCTTTATATATATGTGTGTGTGTGTGTGTATATATGTGTGTGTGTGTGTATGTGTATGTATATATATATACACATACATATATACATATATATATACATACACACACACACATACATATATCCATATATACATACATATATACATATACATATATATATACATACACACACACACACACACATATATATAAAATTGCATTTTAGGTTCTGGGGTACATGTAAAGAACATGCAGGATTGTTTCATAGGTACATACATGGCAGTGTGGTTTGCTGCCTCCATCCCCATCACCTATATCTGGCATTTCTCCCCATGTTATCCCTCCCCAACTCCCTATCCCCCACTGCCCCTCCCTTAGTCCCCCGCTACAGACCTCAGTGTGTGATGCTCCCTTCCCTGTGTCCATGTGTTCTCATTGTTAAACACCCGCCTATGAGTGAGAACATGTGGTGTTTGATTTTCTGTTCTTGTGTCAGTTTGCTGAGAAGGATGGTTTCCAGGTTCATCCATGCCCCTACAAAGGACACGAACTCATCATTTTTTATGGCTGCATAGTATTCCATGGTGTATATGTGCCACATTTTCCCTGTCCAGTCTATCATCGATGGGCATTTGGGTTGGTTCCAAGTCTTTGCTGTTGTAAACAGTGCTGCGGTGAACATAGGTGTGCATGTGTCCTTATAATAGAAAGATTTATAATCCTTTGGATATATACTCAGTGATGGGGTTGCTGGGTCAAATGGAATTTCTATTTCTAGGTCCTTGAGGAATTACTACACTGTCTTCCACAGTGGCTGAACTAATTTACACTGCCACCAACAGTGTAAAAGTGTTCCTATTTCTCCATATCCTCTCTAGCATCTGTTGTCTCCAGGTTTTTTTTTTTTTTTTTTTTTTTTTTTTTGAGACGGAGTTTCACTCATGTCACCCAGGCTGGAGTGCAATGGCGTGATCTCGGCTCACCGCAACCTCCGCCTCCTGGGTTCAGGCAATTCTCCTGCCTCAGCCTCCTGAGTAGCTGGGATTACAGGCACGCGCCACCATGCCCAGCTAATTTTTTGTATTTTTAGTAGAGACGGGGTTTCACCATGTTGACCAGGATGGTCTCGATCTCTTGACCTCGTGATCTACCCACCTCGGCCTCCCAAAGTGCTGGGATTACAGGCTTGAGCCACCGTGCCCGGCCTTGTCTCCAGATTTTTTTAATGATCACTATTCTAACTGGTGTGAGATGGTATCTCAATATAGTTTTGATTTGCATTTCTCTAATGACCAGTGATGATGAGCATTTTTTCATATGTCTGTTGGCCTCATATATGTCTTCTTTTGAAAAGTGTTCATATCCTTTGACCACTTTTGAATGGGTTTGTTTGTTTTTTTCTTGTAAATCTGTTTTAGTTCTTTGTAGATTTTGGATGTAAGTCCTTTGTCAGATGGGTAGTTTGCAAAAATTTTTTCCCATTCTGTTGGTTGCCAGTTCACTCTAATGATTGTTTCTTTTGCTGTGCAGAAACTCTGGAATTTAATTAGATCCCTTTTGTCTATTTTGGCTTTTGTTGCCAGTGCTTTTGGTGTTTTAGTCATGAAGTTGTTGCCTATGCCTATGTCCTGAATGGTTTTGCCTAGGTTTTCTTCTAGGGTTTTTATGGTGTTAGGTCTTATGTTGAAGTCTTTAATCCATCTGGAGTTAATTTTAGTGTAAGGTGTCAGGAAGGGGTCCGGTTTTTGCTTTCTGCACATGGCTAGCCAGTTTTCCCAACACCATTTATTAAATGGGGAATCCTTTCCCCATTGCTTGTTTTTGTCAGGTTTGTCAAATATCAGATGGTTGTAGATGTGTGGTATTGTCTCCAAGGCCTCTGTTCTGTTCCATTGGTCTATATCTCTGTTTTGGTACCAGTACCATGCTGTTTTAATTACTGTAACCTTGTAGTATAGTTTGAAGTCAGGTAGCGTGATGCCTCCTGCCTTGTTCTTTTTGCTTAGAATTGACTTGGCTATGTGGGCTCTCTTTTGGTTCCATATGAAGTTTAAGGTATTTTTTTCCAGTTCTGTGAAGAAGGTCATTGGTAGCTTGATGGGGATAGCGTTGAATCCATAAATTATTTTGGGCCGTACGGCCATTTTCACGATATTGATTCTTCCTAACCATGAGCATGGAATGTTTCTCCATCTGTTTGTGTCCTCTCTTATTTTGTTGAGCAGTGGTTTGTAGTTCTTGAATAGGTCCTTTACATTCTTTGTTAGTTGTATTCCTAGATATTTTATTCTCTTTGTAGCAATTGTGAATGGCAGTTCGTTCTTGATTTGGCTCTCTTTAAGTCTGTTATTGGTGTATAGGAATGCTTGTGATTTTTGCACATTGATTTTGTATCCTGAGACTTTGCTGAAGTTGCTTATCAGTTTCAGGAGATTTTGGGCTGAGACGATAGGGTCTTCTAAATATACAATCACGTCATCTGCAAATAGAGACAATTTGACTTTCTCCTTTCCTAATTGAATACCCTTTATTTCTTTTTCTTGCCTGATTGCTCTGGCTAGAACTTCCAATACTATATTGAATAGGAGTGGTGAGAGAGGGCATCCTTGTCTAGTGCCAGATTTCAAAGGGAGTACTTTCAGTTTTTGCCCATTCTATATGATACTGGCTGTGGGTTTGTCATAAATAGCTTTTATTATTTTGAGATACATTCCATTGATACCAAGTTTATTGAGAGTTTTTAGCATAAAGGGCTATTGAATTTTGTCGAAGGCCTTCTCTTCATCTATTGAGATAATCAAGTGGTTTTTGTCTTTGGTTCTGTTTATGTGGTGAATTACATTTATAGCCTTGTGTATGCTGAACCAGCCTTGCATCCCTGGGATGAAGCCTACTTAATCATGGTGGATAAGCTTTTTGATGTGCTGTTGCAATCAGTTTGCCAGTATTTTATTGAGGATTTTCGCATCGGTGTTCATCACGGATATTGGCTGTAGTTTTCTTTTCTTGTTAAGTCTCTGCCGGGTTTTGGTATCAGGATGATGTTGGTCTCATAAAATGATTTAGGCAGGATTCCCCCTTTTTGGATTGTTTAGAATAGTTTCAGAAGGATTGGTACCAGCTCCTCTTTGTATGTCTAGCAGAATTCAGCTGTGAACCCATCTGGACCTGGGCTTTTTTTGGTTGGTAAGCTATTAATTGCTGCCTCAACTTCTGCTCTTGTTATTGGTCTGTTCCGGGTTTCGACTTCTTCCTGGTTTAGGCTTGGGAGGGTATAAGTGTCCAGGTATTTATCCATTTCTTCCAGGTTTATTGATTTATGTACAGAGAGTTGTTTGTAGTAATCTCTGATGATGCTTTGTATTTCTGTGGAATCCGTGGTGATATTGCATCTATTTGATTCTTCTCTCTTTTCTTTTTTTTTTTTTTGAGACGGAGTTTCACTCATGTTACCCAGGCTGGAGTGCAATGGCGCGATCTCGACTCACCGCAACCTCCGCCTCCTGGGTTCAGGCAATTCTCCTGCCTCAGCCTCCTGAGTAGCTGGGATTACAGGCACACGCCACCATGCCCAGCTAATGTTTTGTATTTTTAGTAGAGACAGGGTTTCGCCATGTTGACCAGGATGGTCTCGATCTCTTGACTTCGTGATCCACCCGCCTCGGCCTCCCAAAGTGCTGGGATTACAGGCTTGAGCCACCGCGCCCGGCCTCTCTTTTCTTTTTTATTAATCTGACTAGTGGCCTATTTCGTTGATCTTTTCAAAAAACCAGCTCCTGGATTTATTGATTTTTTGAAGGTTTTTTTTGTGTCTCTGTCTCCTTCATTTCTGCTCTGATCTTAGTTATTTCTTGTCTTCTGCTAGGTTTTGAGTTTTTTTGATCTTGCTCCTCTAGCTCTTTCAATTTTGATGATAGGGTGTCGATTTTAGATCTTTCCTTGCTTCTCATGTGGGCATTTATTGCTATAAATTTTCCTCTAGACACTGCTTTAAGTGTGTCCCAGAGATTCTGATACGTTGTGTCTTCGTTCTCGTTGGTACTTCAGTGGTGTACGTTCGCATATTTGCCAACTGTCACCACCATCCATTTCCAGAACTTTTTCATCTTCCCAAATAGAATCTCTGTACTCACTTAACAAGAACTCCCCATTTCCTCCTTCCCCCAGCCTCTGGCAACCACCACTCTGCTTTGTCTCTAAAATTTGACTGCTCTAGGTTCCTTGTGTAAGTGGAATCATATATGTTTGTTCTTCTGTGCCTGGATCATTTCACTTAACGCAATGTCTTCAAGGTTCATCCATGTTGTAGCATGTCAGAATTTCAGTCCTTTTTAAGGCTGGCTAATATTTCATTGTCTTTACGACATCTTGTTTATCAGTTCGTCTGTTGATGGACGTTTACGTTCTTTCCACCTTTTGGCTATTGTGAGTAATGCTGCTGTGAATGTGAGTACAGTATACATATATTTATTTGAGTCCCTGCTTTCAAATATTTTGGGTTTATATTCAGAAGTGAAATGCTGGAGCATATGGTAAATATAGCTTTAATTTTTTGAGGAACTACCATACTGTTTTCCATAGTGGCTGTAACATTTATAATCAGTTTTTAATTATACTTACTTGTAGTTCTAATATCTATAATTTTTTCCTAATAAATGATCAAATACTTATAAGGCTATAAGTATTTAGACATATTTTATATTAGAGACAGAAATTTACAGTTTTTAAATTTTGTTTTGAGAAAGTGCTGTTTTTACAAACAACATTACTAGGTTAAGAATGTTAAGGAATCTAAATGAGAAAATTACTTTTGCTTTAACCACTTCTCTGCAGGCCATTGACAAAAGTATTTTAATATCTGTATAACTTTTTGTGACATGA